CATATAATATCAGTTAAAACAAATTCTTAAAAACCATTTAACCGATTACTTTGGTTTTTAACAGATTAAACATCTTTAGAGGCATTTTCAAAATCTTTTCAATGATGAAACCTCATACAACAGAGAGATATGAATGATTAAACTTATGTATAGATGCAGACTCACTAATCACTTCTACCCTTTTAACCAAGTAACATTTGACTTCACCAGAAAAGCCTTTGACTTCATTCGACTTCATCAAATCAACAAGATCTTCGTTTTATCAAATGATTCAATAAGATCTTCATCACTTTCAGTCTCCCCCTATTTGATGAAGACAAACACCTCTTTGAAAAATTTTGCAGAAGAAGTCACTTGAATATATAGATTAGTGAGTATTTAAAATTAATCATTTTTCCCCTAGAATAGTGAGTATTTAGTATTTAAAGAATTAATCATTTCTCCCCCTTTGACTTCATCAAAAAGAGGGAAGAAAGGGGTAAAACAAGTAAAATGATAACAAAATGTAATTTTTTTAAAATATTACAAACAGAAAAAAAATACCATGATACCAATGAGATGTATTATTCATTGAAGAACCAATTAAAGTTGATTCAAACTTATCTTCGTTAACACGTTTGTAATGAATACAATAGACACATGTAAAGATAAGGGAACCATGTTTTAGTAGCATGTTACAAGGACAATCATTAACTAAAGCCTTTAATTTTCTTTCCAGAATAATAATCGATTAAAAACAGAACATAATCGATTAAATTGTTCTTGTTACTAATTTTAATTTATACAAATAATGTTTTAATCGATTAAAACGATAATCGAAAGATGAAGTTTAAAAACTTGAGTTCATTTAATTGATTAAATCGATATTTAATAGATTAAAATAGTATGAGAAAGTTTTGTAAAATAATTTTAATCGATTAAAGCTCGTTTATATCAATTAAAACAATCAGATTTGGAAACTAAGTGAGTCTTGATGCTTCTAGGATTCTTAATTTATTTTGAATTAAAAAAAACGGTTATTACAAGATGTTTAGTGACAAAGTCAACTAATTTGATTAAGTTTTAACCAAAACATAGAATAAAATCAAAGTAAAACATCTTATCAAGTGAATTTAATTGATGTAAATCAATTTTAGTTGATACAGATTCATGATTTATGGTTTTTAATCGGTTAATTCGTGAATTAATCGATTAAAATAGTACGAATTTCTTATGTAAATATTTCTGTAAATGAATTTAATCGATTAAATCGATTTTGTCTTAGCTAAAACTATCAGATTTATGTTATTGTTTTCAATCTAGGGTCTTTAATTTAAATCTAAACAACTGATATCATATAAAATATAGTTGATCGAAAATCAGTTAACATTACAGACCATAATAGAGAATAAAAGTGACAGAAAATAAGGGAAGCATGAAATAAAAACATAAAAAGATAGAAAGGACCCTTCTTGATGATACTCAATCATCCCAATTTCCCTGGTTTAACTGCATATCCTCCAATTTGGTATAAATGTCAGCAATCTGATTTCCCAGGTTGGAGAATTGTGTGTTTGTCTGTTGGAAATGTTGGTAAGTAATTTGCATGTGTTTCCTCTGATTTTCTTGTAATGAGGACATTTGAGAGAGCATAGTCCTTGCAAATTGAGAAAGAGGAGTCCAACAGTCAGGCTGCTCAATATAGGGTATGATCTTCATATTCTCATATGAGGTTTCCCCACCAGTGGACTCGGTAACCTCAGCAGCTGGAGGAGAAGAAATTGGATCAGCTTCTTCTTCATTATCATCCTCATCTTCGGACATACCAGCCTTAGCTTTGGAGATCATCAATTTTGATGAACCCTATTTTCCGTAGAGTAGAGTCATCAATTTCATTTGAAGCTTTAGGGGTCTCCACACTTTCTCCTGCAAGGTCAACTTCAAAATATCTAAAGAAATTGTTAATCAACATGACATATGGCAGTTTGTAATCGGATAACCTTTTTGCTTTCAACATGTGATCCTTGATTACATATACCCAGTTGACTCAAATATTATTTGAAATGCAGTACATGAGGGCAAGGTCACCCTCATTTATCAAAGCATGGTTGTTCCCCCTAGGAGTGAGTATCCATGCAACAATGAAGGCCAACAACCTAGGTTCAAGCATCAGTTTACCAGCATTTAAAATTCTTACGGAATCAGTTGGGTCTTTGAGGTAGGATCTGAAGAATTGTATTTTATTGAAATCTGGTAGATCAGAGACATTTCCTCTGGATACTTTAACACCACTATCTTTGAGGCTAGCAACTTCTTCCCAAACAGAAGGAGTGATTTCCATATTGACTCCTTTTACCTGAGATTTGATTGTAGACCCATTCACTGTTAGATTGGAATAGAAAACATGAACCAAATCAGATTGTATATTTCCAGTATACTCCATGAAGGTTTCTAGCTTCTAACTTTTTAGCTTTCTTCTTAGGGCTATAAAACACTTTTCATCAAGCCATTTGAACTTGATGAACTTGGGAATAACAATTTGCTTCCGACTAAATTCAGCAATAAAGGTGTTCATTCTGCCAATATCTCCATCGAACCAAGCTTCTAAATAACCACAAGGATTGGCAGCAGAGGAAGATTCTCCTTTATGTTTCTTCCTAGATTTTGATCTTTTAAACATTTTGTCTTGGAATTCAAGAAAGAACCAAAGCCGAGAGAAGAAAGAAGAAATTTTGTTGAACCAGAAAATGAAAGTGAGAAAAGAGTGAAGAATGATAATCTCAAGTGTGCAGAACCATGGGTTTCAGATTTCAAATTTATAAATTGAAGTCCAATTGGCAGAACCTGCAAAGTTACAACTTTAATTACATATGTCCTCTTGACCGAAGACAGAGGCGCAGGTTTCTGGACAGTGGGTACATCAGCTATTTTGTTCCTTGGATAAGTATTGACATGGTCAAAATGGTACAGTAGATGCACTTGCAGAATTTGATAAACAATAAATCTTGGAAATTAGACCTTGATTAGCTGAAAGTTTTCCAATTGACTCTAATTAAAATGATTTCTAAGAACGAATTATTTGATTAATCAACAAATTAACCAATTAATTTGATCTTGAATATTAGGTTTGAAAAAGCAATAGTGAAATAATCGATTAAAAACATAAAAGAATCGATTGAATGTTTACTGTATATGTTTAATGAAATGATCACTAAATTTTAATCGATTAAATTTAATTCTTTAATGATTTTAACTGATGTAAATCCTTTTTAATCGATTAAAACAAAGAGAATAAAACTATACTAAAATTCTGAGAACATTTTAATCGATTAATTCGTAGAATAATCGATTAAAACTATACGGACAACTTTTCTGATATTCTCTGTAAGTGAAATTAATCGATTAAAACAATTTTATATCAATTAAAATACTCAGTCCATGAATCCAGAATCAATTTCTGCTGATTAGGTACCAAAGAACTTCCAGATTTTGTTCCTGCAAAACAGATTTAGCATATATCTAGTACCCTTTTTATAATCATTGGGTGCAATCAAGTTATTTGAAATGAATTCTTGGAAATCTACTTTATTCTTCCTCTTGGTATTGCATACTTCTTTATTCTACAAAATTTAACAGAATGACCTCTTTTCATACAATAAAAGCATTTAATAACAGATGATGAATATGATTTTCTATTTCCAACAATTTTTCTGGTTTTCTTGCTAGATGTAAATCCAATGCCAGATTTGTCAAAAATAAGTTTTTGTGACCCAAGAAGAGCATCAAGATTAGTTTAACCTTTTGTAAATTTAGAAACAGTTTGTAACAAAAAATCAATCTTCTTTTGTAAATCTGGACAATTATTGCATGGTTTATTGCATAAGCAATCAAAGTTATCATGGATTAATTTTAAGAAATCAAGATCAGTTTCATCTTCAAGAATTTTCTTTTCAAGAGAATCAACTCTATTTTCTAGCCAATTGTTCATGCCTTTTAGCCTATCATTTTCTCTTTTAAGTTTCTTGGTTTCTTCATGCATTTCATTAAATGCTTCTTGCAATGAGTTATAATTCACAAAATTATAAGAAGAGTTATTTTAATCTATTATTTCGAAAACCTATCAGTTAAAAACATGTTATGTAAGTGTTAAGAACATTTTAACTGATAAAGCTCATATAATATCAGTTAAAACAATTTCTTAAAAACCATTTAACCGATTACTTTGGTTTTTAATAGATTAAACATCTTTAGAGGCATTTTCAAAATCTTTTCAATGATGAAACCTCATACAACAGAGAGATATGAATGATTAAACCTATGTATAGATGCAAACTCAGTAATCACTTCTACCCTTTTAACCAAGTAACCTTTGACTTCACCAGAAAAGTCTTTGACTTCATCAAATTAACAAGATCTTCGTTTTATCAAATTATTCAATAAGATCTTCATCACTTTCAAATATCACTATGAATAATATCAAAGAAAAATTCAATAAAAGAACAAGAGGCATTAAATGATAATTTCACATGTTTATTAAAATGACAAGAAGTGCAAAAATCATGACTGTCTTTATTACAATTTATGAAATTTTAACAATGAAAAGAGTTTGGAACAGTAGCTCTGAGATGACCTAAATGATTATTCCACAAAGTAGAAGACAAAGCTATAAATGTTAACATAAGTGTTGGTGGGGAGATTGCCTGATAGTTAGGACGGATGGGGTAGAGATCTCCCAAGTTGTTTCATCTCATTAGATGGTTCCTCATGTGCAAATCCTTCACCGAAAACCTAAAAGGATCAAATTCAATAGAAACCAAATTATCAGTGATAAATTTACGAACGAATATGAGGTTTTTAATGAGTTTTGGTGCATGTAACACATTGTTTAGGTTTAAAGGAGGGTGGGGTGGTGTAATGCCTCCATGACCACAAATAGGAATCAAATGACCATTACCAACAACAATACTGTGATCATTGCTCGAATCAAAATAAGATGAGAGTGTACCTTGATTTGTCGTCATATGAAAGGTAACACTTGTGTCCATATACCAGTTCTCATCCGGTTAAGATATTACAAGAGTATGCATGACCGCATTAATGTCCGTAGGTGTGTCCCCTACATTAGATGATGTTATTGATGTATTGTAAGCTTGTTGTGGTGGTCGCGGTCTAAGAACACCGACTTGGCATGGAGGTCTAGGTTGCCACGAGACTGCAAGATAAGGGCATGGAGGTTGGCCCCATCTAGTCCAAGAATTAAAGAAGGGATGTTGACATGGTGGGAAGGCTTGATACTGCGAGTACTATGGCAATTACTATGGTGCAACATTTTTTCCAACACATGCACCCCCACCTCTGCCATCGCGAGTGTTGTTGTCTTTGTCTCAGTTGGTTTTCTTGCCGCGATTGGTATTATGACGACCCTCGAAATTATTGGTATTACTATGATGTTGTTGCGATTGTGAATTAAAGCCTTCATCCACTGTTAAGAATGCGGAGGAACTAGATTCACGAGTTGTTCGTTCCTTAATCGTGGTCTCTTCTAACTTTAATCGAAAACATGTTATAGCAAAACTTGGCAAGTCATCTTTTTGTTGCATAACTGTGACAAAACCAACATATGCTTCGGTTAAGCCAATGAGAAAATTGAGCATTAAACGTTGATCTGAAACAGGAGCCTCAACATTGGATAATTGGTCAACAAGAGATTTGAGTCGGTTGCAATATGTGAAGGTTGAGAAGAAATCTGCTAAGTTCGTGTTTGTGAATTGAGTTTCAAGATATACTGCCCTAGTGTTTTTGTTATCTTGAAATAAGTCAATTACACATTGCTAAGCTTTAGTAGCCGAGTCATCAGTCATAAGGATCGATGTAAGAATATAAGGAAATACAATATCATAAATTCATTGGTGAAATCAACATCAAGATGATTCCATAGAGGGAGATCAATGACCTTGATTGTTTGGTAAGTTGTTATGGCAACGACTTTCGTAGGAGGGATGATATGTCCAAGCATAAAATGAACTTTACCTTAAATAAGGTTGTCCATGAGTGATATTAGTTGGTTTCCATGTACAAAGTGATTAGAATGACATGTTTCACATTGGTGATAACTAGGACAAAGTGAAATTGGGATTTGTCAGTCATTGATGGAAGAAAGAGGGAAAAAAATGCTTCAAAGAAGATAAACAGTGACGACTAGATTTTTCAGAAATAGAGGAAGATAACCTAACCTGATACCATGTAGGAAATCATCCGTGATATGTCTTTCTGTTAATTAGGAATATATACAAAATACAAGCTATAATTTAGGTTGTCATTATAATTGACAAGTTAAACTTTATACAATTAATACAACAAAATATTCTCTAATTAATAACAACTTATTTTACATAATAATATATATCAATATATAAAATATTTAATTATAATTTATAATTTAAACTTAATTATTTAATATTTATAATTTAATTTATAATATTATAACATATTTATATATTTCAATAACATAATATAAAAGAATATAATTTTTTTAATTTTAATTTTTGTATTTTAATTTTAATAAATAATTAAAAAAAAAAAAACACCAAGTGGACTAGTCTACCTAATTTCATCCTTGTCCATTGGACTAATAGACTAAGTAAAACATACAAAGATGATGGGTGAAAGTAAATATACTAATGGACTTTATCAATTTGAAGCCAATTAACGAAAGCTAACTTATTTTCCTATTTATTTTCCTATGGTGCCTCCTTTGTAGTGTTATGTTCTTATCCTCTCCCAAAAGTCAACATTAGACTAATGATTAGGGATATTAAACCTTTTATTTTTTGCTGGACAAAAAAAAAACTTTACTTAAAACATGTAAGAGCATCTCCAATGGAAAATGCTTAAAAAAATTTCCTAGTTGTTTTAAGCAACTATCCCATTGGAGAAAATGATGTGGCATGCAAAGTTATTACATATTAACAGAAAAATATTTGGGGAAGCAGTTGTTGCTTTAAATAAATAAAATATTAATATTTCCATCAATCTTTAGCAAACACAACAAACAAATCTAATAAGCAAACGTATTAACAAAATCATCTTCATCAAACATAGTGAACCAAACGCAAGCAAACACAACCAACTTAGGAAGCAAAATAGAACAAAATCATTTTCATCAATCCATAATTTTTCACCAATCCAAAATATTCTCAACCAAAAATTTTAAAATTATCAACCATCAACAACAATAATAATAATTATCAATTTATAATAACCAAATTTAGAAATAATTTCAAAATTATCAACGCATCACCAACCGCGGATGCGGTAGCGGCACCGGATGTAACAATAACTACGGAGGTAACGAGGCGGCGAATGCGAAGAAGGACGCAGAGGCAAACAATGAAGGCAAACTTGGAGGGGAAATCACAGGCAGAAGGGATGTGGAGGAGGACACGAAGAGACGCAGCGAGGGGACGCAAACGATGAGGGAAATGAAGGCGACGTGGAGGCGGACGCGAGAAGGGGGAAGGCAGATTTGAGAGAGGAGATATGAAATGGAGAAAGAAAGGTAAAGGGAAAGGGAAGGAAGAGAGGTGAGCCAAAAAAAAAAGAAAATGGAAAAGTAAGATGTAGAAATGAGAGGTGAAAGAGGAGAATGGAGATGGAGAAAGATAACTATTACTCACGAGAAAAAACCAGTAAAGTTGAAGCTTTGTTTTGCATTTTTTTACACTATAAAATCTTCATCAATGGTAAAAAAATTTCACATATCCTTCATTTTCTCATTTTTCTTCTTCTCCAATTATGGATTCCAATCAATTAAATTACGAGTATTATTATAATTTATTGTAAAATTACTCATCTCTTACTGGTGAAAATTCTCAAAATTATATTTATCCACCACCATTTTTTATGGTTTTACCACTTCTTATTACATCAAATATGAGTAACATTCCTCCTTCATCCAATATAGAACCTCCTTCCCTGATCGGACTCGATAATATCCAACTTGATAGAAGTGGTGAAAATATGTCTCGGAGGAAACCTCGTGTAGCATTCTCAATACTAGAAGATTGGAGTCTTATTTGATCATGGTTGAATGTGTTGAAGGATCCAATTGTTGGAATTCATTTGTCATTAATCCAATATTGGGAGCGGATCAAAGAAGCATACAACAATGACGATGAACATAACATTTTCACAAAGAGGTTAGTGAGTCAATTAAAATATTGATGGAGTAAACTTCACCATGTAGTTCAAAATGTTGGAAAATTAATAATAATAATAATAATAATAATAATAATCCTGATTTTGATTCTAAGGATCAAACATAAACCTAATCCTATACTGATAAACATGTTGTAAACTGAATACGAAAGCGTACCTGAATTAGCCATAATGATGATGTCTTTGTAGAGCACTATATTGATCTTATGGTCTTCCACCTGAAGAGCACCTGTATTTCCCTCTTGATTTTCTCTCTTTATGGGGATAGAAAGAAAGGAACAGGAATGAAACTTACGTTCTGTCTATGTGCTCCCAGAAGGGGACCATGACCCCCTAAAATAACCAGAATTAGATTAATTACTTAAGTTTTAGTATTTCTAATTTGACCCTTCATCAAATTAGAAATTACTCTATGGTCTCTACACAATTTATTTTCATGACATATGCCTTTAGCCAAACTTTTTAATTTAGTCAGATTACTTTATTATTTGGCTTAATAAATAATGGCCCTAACACATTTAAATTATGTATCATATATATACATGACCCAAAATTTGCCAACACAAAAACTTAATGCATGCTACAACCAAACTACCAATCAAAGGAAAAATGATTGGGCTGAGAAAGATGTTATGTCATTCGCACATAAGATTTTCATAAAAGATTCGAAAGGGAAAAAAATTGAATATGAACATGCTTGGTTGTTATTAAGAGATGAACCAAAATGGCAATAAGCATTTACGGAGTTAAAAAAAGTCACAAGAAATATGTTTGGAGTATGAAATCCTCATGAAAGACACAACTAATATGTCTAAGAAGCAACGTGAAGATCACAAAAAATATTGTAACTATATTAGACAAAAACAAGGATTTTAAATATATTAATCATTATGATAGTTAATTGTATTTATTTGAAAAATGTATTAGTGATGCACAAATGAAAATTAGTTATTGTGAAAACTAGTCGTTATAAAAAGTATTTGTTGTAAAACTAGTCATTATAAAACTAATGTTGTAAAAATAGTAGTTGTAAAAATTAGTCATTATAAAACTAGTCGTTGTAAAACTAGTCATTATGAATCTATATATAGTTTTAAAATGTCATGCAATGTCCCACATCTTATAGTATTACAATATTATTCTCAATTTTTAGACACTTCAATTATCCATATAATGAAATTTGAAAACATTGATTTAAATGCATTGTTGGATTAAGTTGTAAATGAAAAACTCAAAGATAATCATGATAAAGAAATCATGAGGTTACTACTTGAGTACCGACAATAACTTGACAACAATGATGATGACAAACAAAGAAGAAAGGTAGTTTATCGAAATTGTGAAAAAGATCATCATCAATTGTTCAATTACTATTTTGCTAAAAAATCAGTATATACAGAATCTCAAATTTGAAAAAGGTTTCGTATGCAAATGGAGGTTTTTGTCAAAATTATGGAAGCTTTTGACAATCACGATATTTACTTTACACTGAGGTTAGATGTAACACGAAGAAGAGGTTTATCACCTTTGTAAAAGTGCACTGCTTATATTCACATATTGGCTTATGACTCACTTGCTTATAGTGTGGATAAATATATCCGCATTGATGAAAGCAATGCAGTAGAATACTTAAAAAGATTTTTATCAAACATTTGTGCAGTATTTGGAAATAAGTCTTTAAGGAGACCTAGTAATAAAGACATTGATCAGCTACTATAAATGGGAGTTACATGTAGTTTTCCAGGTATGTTAGGATCAATTGATTGTATGCATTAGGAATGAAAAAATTATCCAGTTGCATGGAAAGGTTAGCTTTGTCAAGGTGATCATGCTAGCCCGACAATCATTCTCAAAATTGTAGCATCAGAAGACTTGTGGATTTGACATGCATTTTTTTGTACTACAGGGTCAAATAATGATATTATTGTGTTAAATACATCTAATGTGTTTAATGAAGTTATGTCAGGTTTTGCACATGTGGTACATTACATTGTGAATGAAACGTAATATGATATGAGATATTACTTAACAGATGGTATTTATCCAGATTTTGTCATATCTGTGAGAACTATTTCAATGTCACAAAGACAAAAGAGAAAATTATGTGTTTAATGACAAGAGTTAACAAGAAAAGATGTCGAACATGCATTTTGAGTCCTTCAATTGTGATTTGCAATTATACGTATTATGACACATTTTTGGGATAACATAATTTATGCATGTATCATATTACACAACATGATTGTTGAGAAAGAACAACATACTTATTGAAGTCTTATTAATTATGATATTAGGAAAAATGATATGTCAACTATTGATATATCTTTAAGTCCTCATACTAGTTTTAGATTTACGTATTTTTAAAGAAAAGCAATAGTTCAAGATAGAAATACTCACTACCAACTTCAAACAGATTTAGTAAAACATATTTGACAAAAATTTTGAAGAGAAAATAATAAAACTTAATTTTATGTAATATATTTTTTAGTATTATTTGATTTTTATTTGATTTATTTAAATATTATGTATTTATATTATTTTTATATTAAAATATGGTAGTGTATTATTAATTAAAGCAGATAATTAATGTATATATTCATTTTTTATAGAAAATATTAAAATAATATATAAAAATATATAAAATAATAAATTATTTAAAATTGTTACTATTGAAGTGAAATTAAATAAGAAATGTATAATGTGGGACCCTTATTTTATTATTTTCAAAAATAAAACAACTCATTCAAATTTTTTTCATTAAAGATAACCTAAAAGATCAGAGCCCTATAGGAGAGTACTACTCAATTAGACCCTTGAAAAATCTTATCACATAACTCTCTTTAGTTTTGTACTGTAGCCATCAAGTCACAATTACACATGACTTCACAAGTGCAATTTAGAATCGGTCTAAATTTTTTTTTTACTCCCGACATAACCCCTTAAAGCTGAGTATAGTAAAGAATATATAATTAACTGGTGATCTTGCTTCAACACATTTCATCTTTAATCTTTGAAATTCTTAAAATATCTCCTTTTAAGTTAAAATAATGTTCAAAGTTTTCTAATATCTTATGTGCTACGATCAATTGCAACTTGTTGGGCTGGAAAAAAATATATAATTAATATGATATTTGAGTATACTCTTATAATCAACAATAATGTGTTGAATCTTATCCTACCTACATCACTAATATTTAGTTTTTTAGTTTATCTTATTAATAACTATGTTATGGGGAGGTGTGATTAAATAGAAGATTCCAGATATTTGTTACATAGCACTATCAAAACTATTGGTCATATGAGTATAGAAATAAGTGATGAAATTGATATAATTTGTGACCAATTTATTTGTCACAACAACCCTAGTTTGGGCCAATCATTTGAAACTCCATGTCTTCCTTTGTCTCATGGAAGCTTAGGCATCTACTTCCACGGCATCACAATGTTCCTTCATGCTAGACCATCAGCCATTAAATTCCAAACCACAACATGCTTTTGTATAAGCTTGGATGTCCTTTAGCCCGCATATATTGTCATGCATTTTGTTTCACTATCTTCACTCTCACACATCTCATCAACATTCCTTCATTGTTTTTTCTCATACTACCTTCCACATTACTCACTTTTCTTTTGTCACTACTTTCTCCATCAACCCTCTTTCAATGCCCATTCTTCACTCTTCTACCTTCTTCATCTTTCTCCTATTGGAATCTTGTATATTTGCACGTACCACTGATATTTTGTTTTACGAGGTTTCTTCAATCGCTTTCACTTTTTTCATCCATTCAAATGCTAATATTATTCTCTTAAGAAACACTTGTGATCCCCTACTACTCTCCCTTAAGAAACAACACAATATATAATTAAAGTTGAATCGAAATGAATGAACCATTCGATCGTGAAGAAGAACAGGAATGCCATTGCATCCCACGTGTTATTTTTATTTTTATAATTTCGATATTTTTAAATTTAATTACTACTAAGTATATATCAATTTGTATATTTAAAATTTGTTGTTTTAATTAATTTTTTATAAATATTAAAAAAATATTTCTTTCATTATTTATAATAATATATTTTTTAATCGGTTCAAACTATCTATTCACTTGCATGCAAAAACTATTCATTAATCTATTAATCTTTCCACTTTCTATTTTTTAAGAATGATGTTTCTTTCAAGAGAAAAATAAGACTATATATATATATATATATATATTTCACATTATATAAAATAGTTTTTTTTACACACACATTAAATCACAATATATACTCTCTAAATCCGTAATTAGAATATGTATATTCTAATTGTTTTTATGCCGTAATTATCAGAAATAAGGTAGCACCCATCTGCATTTGTTGGGAAGATATTGCATAGATTTAATAATGATAGTGTACCTTTTCAATCATCGTGGACAGGAATTATACACACCCAACTGTATCAAATAAATAGAGAAACATGACTTGTCAAAATAAATAAATAATTAAACATAAAAAATTAAAAGAAAAAAAACGAAGTCATATCCATTAACTCAAATATCAACTATAAAAAAAATGAAAATAAAAAAATGTTGCAGACCGACATGGTGCCAAGAATTAGCTCAATTTGACCTCAGAAACGAACCAAAACCCATAAATAGAAACGTCCTTGTCCTTTGGTGGCTCCATATTAATGAAACTCATGGGGTCCTCCTGACCTACACCTCCAACCATATTCTCTTCAAAGCTGCCCCATAAAGGACCATTTCCATGCTTGTTTTCAGATTCAGCCCTTCTTTTCTACAACATTCTCTATCCTCTCTCAAACTATAGCCCTTAATTACAACGCCACAAAACCAAAAACAAGCATGGAAATGGCCATATGGGATTTGCCCAAGACTAAAGAAAAAAGTAAAAAAATAAATATTTAAAGAAAGAAGTTCAATACCATATACAGTTTTTGTCACACAAAAGTTCAAACAAAGTTGAACCTACAGGAAAGTAACACCTGAATATCCTTTTATGAAGATCGAATAGCTATCCCCTCTAAACAAGGGTTTAAACCAGAACCACGATTTTGACTGCAATTTCAAGGCTTTTGAGTTGTACACGAACACAAAGTGTGACCATACTCTAAAACGTTGCCATCAGAGATTGTATCCTTCTGCATGTCACCGTAGCTCTAGTCATTGATATATAAATATTCAATCCTCTTGCATTGTGGGGTACGCAAGTATGCTGAAGAGTAAACTGGTGTTTACAGCCATAAAGAATACCAAGAAAGGTGATAGTTATGAACAGTGAGGTAAGGAGCACACGGTTTTGACTTGGTTCACAGGAGGGTGTGATGAAATTGTTCATGCAGGTTGTAAAATATAGATAGAAATATATACCTAATGGTGTTAACAGTGGTGAAATTGATATAATCAGTTGTGAAGAGGGTTTGGCCCAGAGGGGACAAGTCTCTTTTCTGCACCAAATCTTGGGTCAATTTCTTGGGAGGGTGGAACTGTTTGGATAAATCTTTGGTGGATTTTTTGGAGCTCAGTGCACAAGGAACGTGGGTTTCTCTTGGTAAAAGAATCACAGTAACGAAGGAGGGGGTGATGGTTGAGGGTGTTACCTGAGGAAGATGAAGATGATGGAACGTTGCAACTGGCTGAAGAGAAGAGAAAGAGAAACAAGATGAGGAAGAGGGTGATGAACCTGCGACGGGTGGTTGAAGACAGAGAGCTCTTCATTTCTGAGGCAGAGAGAAACAGGGGAAGGATTGTGAAGGTTATGGAAAAAAGATGGAGGGGAGTGTGAAGAGGATGGTGAGATGAGGTGACTTTAGGGAAATGAAGAGTATTAATGGAAAACAAGAGACACATGAGGGTATGTAATGACCGAGAAAACGGTAGGACCTCACTCAATCAATGTTAGGGTTTGTGTATTTAGTGAGCAATCACATCTCATCATCAAATGAGTCATGGAGTTTGTATGTGTAGGAGTTGGGATGATGGGGGTGATTTGGAGGAATGCATACATTAATGTAGAATTCAAAGGTTTGTCACTTTCGCGGTTAGCCACACATAGGAAAGTTGAAGGAAATAGAGAGAGAGGGTATTTTAGGGTTCATGCTTTTAATTAATATTGTTATGTGTAGATGGTTGTGTTCATTACTTGGTATTGACGTAAACCTAAAATATTTTCCTACTCCTAATTATGTTGAAACACTTGCACGTAGGATAACACAATTTACTTCTCTATGATCAAATTCGGAGGAAATTAATTCAAGATGATACCTTAAAGTTGCGAATAGCTAATTTATCTAGTAACAAAGAGATACTACAATATATGTGTTGATTAGTTTCTATTACAATCCATTTTTTACAAGTTTACTACCGAAAAATATCTAATTTATAATGTATAGTTCCATAAATATTATTTGTCACAATTACATAATGTGGTCTATGAACACATAATGAATCATCAAGTTGATATTTGCACGACTTGTTTTACAACTTAACTTGTATAATTACCATTTTTGAGAATTTATTAAGATGAATGGTGAAAATATGAGTATTTTGATCTAAAGAAAATAAGAAATATACCATAATAAGTATCTCTCACTAGAGGCAATAATTGTATAAAACAAAGTCCTTCTTCAAAATATCTGATGGAGTTATATATAAATCATCACTTGATTTCTAGGCATCAAATAACCCTCACCAATAGACCCACCTGCTCAATATAGTATCAATGGTTGAAAATGAAAAAAAAAATTTAAATTTGAGGTTTTAAAGCTAATATTACTCCTCATTGCCACCTGTTTTAGAGTAAAAAAAATGGAGAGTAAAAATTAAAAATAATTTATATCCCAATATTGGACTTTTTTTTTCTTAATAAAACTTATTTTGTCTCTTTCAAAAAAAAAATTATATAACGAGGGATGTCCAAAACTAAACCAATAAAAATCGATAAAAAAATAAAAAATTGATAAAAATTGATTTTTGTTTTTATTTTTGAATTAAAAAATTTAAAGTTAATTGGTTCGATTTGATAATTAGAAACCAACCGAAATCAAACAGTACTTATAATATATACTGAAATGAAATAATATTTATTGTGAGTAAATCAATTAAAAGCATAAAATATATGAAACAATAAAGTATGAATGTGACGTGTGAGTGAGCTAATAAAGCACAACCATCCAAATTTTAGTTATTCAAATCTATCCTAACTAAATAAAACACAAGATAACCATCAAAATTTCAATTATGCAATTTTGTCTAAAGAAACCTACCAGCAATGTTACGAACAACACAATATTGTGTTGTAACATGATAATAAAATTTGCTACCATAATGTATTTCATTTACAAGAATATTCATTTAAATTATTAATTGATTATTTCTTATGATTTAAAATCTTAATTATTATTTTACTTGATATAGAATATGTAATTTTTATTCGACATAATTTTAATTTCTTATCATTTAGAATATATATCATTTATTGAATGTAAAACATATATTTATTTATTTAACAAATATTATGGTGGACCAATAGTATCAGAATTATTAATAAAATAATAAACGGTCCAGATTAATTATTTGTAATTGTTTAAATTAATATTTATTTTAATTAAAATTACTTTAGACAATTACATATTTATTCTTTTGTATTTTTTTTCAATAATTCTCTCACTGTTCATCGTCACTTTCGCCATTAGAACTAATTCTAACTTCAAAATATTAAAGCCATGGAACAGTATCAATAAAAAAATAAATTTCTAGCAACAAACATTACACAAAACTCTAAAAATCTAATAAAATATCATAATTTTTTCAGTTTCATTTATTATAATAATAAGTATCTTCTTAATTAATTATTGTTTAATTTAAAAGACATTTCCTCGTAAATGTTAAAAAAAAATCTTATCTTTCAATTCTCTTAATGTAACTAATATGTTTATTAGACAACTTTACTTAATATCAAATAATTTTAAATTCTATAGCATAACAAATTCAAAATACATATATGATGCTCACAATATATAAATCCATACGTGGTAAGAAATTAAATATATATTAATATGTTTAAATAAACTTTTTTTCTTTGAAAATAAGTATGTTAAGAATAGGAAGAGTTATATTTAGAAAAATGATAATGTTTTATACTAATATGGATGGACGAGACGTCTTAACACGAATAAAAGCGTCAAAGACACTTAATATAGTTTGTTTGAGATTTTTTTATTTATATTTTTAATTATAGAAATATTATTTAATTTCCACTTTAATTCTTTTCTACTAAACTTTGTATAAAAAATAACTTTTATTTCTATTGATTATATTTTTTTTTTCATTTTCATCTTACATAGTTTTCTACAGAGAAACTAAAGTATCCTTTTAATGACTAAACAAAAATTAGAAAACAATTTCTTAAACTAAACATCTTTTAATTACTCATTGTAGATAAGTCAATTTTATATTTAACTTTAGAGAGGACAAAATAACACTTATATATTACATTTGGATAGGAAATTTCACAATTTTCAGAAAATTCAAAGATATATGTAATTAATTATTTTTAAATTGTTTATTTTTTTAAAATGTTTTATTTAAATAAAGAAATTAAATTTAAATAATTTTATTTTTTTATAGAATATTTTAATTATTATTACTATTAAATACAACATTTGTTTTAATATTTAATATTTTAAAAAATATAAACTAACGAAATCTTACCGAGTCGATGAGAAAATGTAAAATAGAAGTTAAATAAATTTAAATGAGGAGAAGTCTTATTTTATTTATTTTAAAATGATTTGATTTTAAGTAGTTGAATTATTTCCTCTAATTTTTTTTTTAATTTCAATTTCGTTTAAAATGTTTTGCCTAATCAAAATCGTTTATATAAAATATTTCAAATTCGTTATAAAAATAAATCACTTTCAATAAATTTCCTATGCACATACATATATTAGTTTTTTATATGTTTTATTATTATTTTTTAATTAGTGTTGTTGTTAGACAATTTGCCATTACATGCTATATCAATTACACAAGACATTATTCTCTATATAAAAGCAACAAATTTGTTACAATAATTCACCCAAACTAGATTATAATCATCTTTCTAAACTCCAACTTTTTGCTGTTGGAAAGTAAAAAAGAACAATTGCAAACAGGAACAAAATCTGTATCCTTGGCAAATGCTTTCAATAACAGTGATCTCGAAAATTTTAAAACATACAAATGACTCAAACAATAAATGAATAACTTCAAGTGAACAACAGTTTGAGGCTATCATCTGTCACTTCACTTATCCATCAATTTGCGCGCACGCTGGTTGGCACCTTTTACTCGAGAGTTCAGCTCATCCACATCCTCGCTAAGATGATCAAGAGCCTTGTTTTGCCTGCAGTTATCACAGTATATTCACCATTACTCAATCCAATATTTCTCTCACATAACACAACTCACACACATCTCCTATTTTTCATCTCAATCACTCTTCACCATTCAACAAATGATTTACCTGTCAAGTTCAGTTCCCATGCCAATTGCCATACCCTTCAAATCACCCAAGATGTCACTTAGATCCGAAAGTGCATCGTCTTGTTTAGCTTTCTCGTACTGTTTTAGTAACACCATGCATGATATAATACAATGAAATGTTACTTGAAAAACCAATAAATGATGGGAATAACATAACATAGAACAAACTACTTACGTCTACTTTCTGATAGACGTCGGCTGATTCATTAGGAGGTGTGGTAGGGGCTGAGCGTCCTTTAGGCAAAGGAGCTAAACCCAACTTCTCTCTATCTTCCTTATTATGTACATCCTTTTTGCTTGGCTTATCTGTTCAGACACCAGATTCCATTATAGTATTGTTTGTTTCCTGGTCTATGAAAGAAAATAATAAAATTTTGAGTTATGAGAGTAAAGGATGAGAAACAAAAACCTGGTGTACTTATAGGGCCCTGGATATTCTTGGTCTTCTTTGGCTTCCAGGGTGCGGAGAACATGCCCCCAAGATTGTTTAAGAGTTTTTCACCCTGATGATCACAATTTAAGCTTGAGGTAAAAACAAAAACAAAATCATAGCTTTCATTTTTACTTTTTTTTTTTTTTTTTTTCTACTCTTACCCCTCCTTCAAATGTTTTCATTTCATTCAGAGAGTTGTTGCATAAATATTTTCTAGTCCAGTATGGCATGATAGGTTTAAAATTGATCAATTTTTGCAATCAGGATAAATTATAATCAAAACTGTATTGGTCCACATATAAAAACAATAACTGTATCAATAATTCAAAACCTTTTAGGTATATGATTATCAACTAAGTAACCTATGCTCTACATATGGGAAACAAAGATCTATTAAAATGTTCATCGTTTGAACATGAACGATCAAAATGCAACAGCAGGCATTATACTCCAATCATACTAAAAGTTTGTGTAAAAATTATATAGTTTATTCTTAAGTTGTCCAAGTTGAAAAAGGGGAAGGTCATTAAAATGTTATTTACCAAAACGCTGCCTTTTAGAGGTATAAGTAAACTTTTCATGATATCACAAAAAGATAACCTAAACTTTGAACATAGAAATGAAAGCAGATATGCTCATACCCTACTCAAATCCTTCTCAGTATCAACAATCATATTGTGGGTCCTGGTTATCTGCTCACCCTGCTGGTTCAACATGTCAAGGGTCCTTGTGGCATCCTCTCTGATGTCCTCAGCAATCCTCAAACAATTGTTGACACTCTTTGTCGTCTCCTCAGACTTGTACACTGCATAGTTTTCCAGCTCCTGAACACTTTGGTTCTCTAGCCCCCCAGAGTTACTGAAATCATTCTTGTACCTGTTTTTGTCTTTTGATACAGGCTTCCTCCCCCAATCATCGTCATCCTCGTCAAGATAGTTTCCTTTTGATTTTGGAACTGGGAGGACAGGTTCTGAAACAGTTCTTTTTTCTGTAGTAAGGTTTGTCTGCTTATCCTCTTCAGCTGGTGGTGCTGCTGCTTTTCTAAACCCAAACATTTTTTACCTTCTAGCCCGAACCCAACAGCATAAAAACAAGTCAAAAGATTTTAACGTAGTCAATTAATTAGAAATCACCTTAAGTATGATAATGCACAAATAGAAGATAGTCTAAAATATTGTTACACTATTAATACATTCTAATTATATACATTAACATATAGCATTACTTTATACTATTACATGGAAGGCACTTGAAAAACCACACTAAGATCGATTTACTAATTAAATCTGAGAGATGTAGGAAATCTGAACCACAAACGGATACTTACTAAAGATAAAATTAAATAAAGGTATCTTAGTCTAAATACATGTGGCTATTTGCTCAGTAATTACTTTGAAGGAAAACATTAACAGACAAAGATGGAAGATTATTTAACAGAACCACAAACATTCAAATTCAGAAGAAAAAAAAAATGAACCATGTTAACATTTTGGCGCGATAACACAATTTTTTTTTTCTAGCTACTAGGTTAAAAAGAAAACGACAACGAACTCTTGCATCTAAGGGTGTGTTTGATTTCCATTTGCAAAACTACTTTTGGTTTCAAAATACAACTAAAAACGTTGCTTTGCTTGGGCAATGGCCACGGAGCAGAATATGGAATTGAGGGAGATGTTAAACAAGAGGTGCATGCATAGAAGAAAAAGATGAAAAAAATATCTTGTAGCTATTTGTATTTTTTGCTTTTTCATGACACTTATTTTGGAAACAATTTTCAAAACATATTTTAGAAAACAGTCTTCAAAACCAAAAAATAATCAAACACGTCCTAAATTTCTAAAATAACTCGTTTACTTGCTGAAGAAGGTAACACAATAACCAAATATGATAAAATTTCGTGCTCTCATGAATCAATAGGCTCACACTCCAGAAATCATTACACAAAATAAAAGAAATGCAATGAAAGAAACCCTTCAGGGAGAATGCAACAAACCTTTTTACCAAGTAAATTGTGAGAAGGGTACCTGAATGTTGACGCCAACAAACAAGGTTATGGTAAGTGGGTACACAAACCCAAACGTGGCAAGGGGTTTGCGTACAAAAGAGGAACAGGGAATGGTTGAAAGTGAATGCAAGAGACTGAGAATTGTCTTCGTTTCGTTGAATAAAAAGAAACCGATGAAAGGTGCCGCGAAAAAACTGAGACCCACACGTTATTTCAACCGTAAACAAGCTTCGAGAATTTTAGACCCTTGCATTGAGAACTAACTACTTAGTCTTTTTAATAATTTTCACGCTAAAAATTTATTGGTTGCATAAATGAATTTAAATATGTTTTCCTTTTGCAAACTTCTATTATGTATGTGATTTCTAATTTAAACAACAATGTTAAAAAAATTTAATTGCTAGATTTTTTTTATAATAATTATTTAAAATAATAACAAAATATGTTTTGTTAAAAAAAAATTGAAGTACAATTTGATTTATTTGCAATGTAAAAAAATAATATCACATCTTTATTTAAGATCTAAGCTCAATCATGGTGGGCCACATATAAATGGGCTTCATTCTAGCTTAAACGTAGGGTTGGATCAAGTTCGAACATGGGCCTAAGTTTATATAAAGATTTATATAAATAATAAAAAAAAAACTATTTGACGTGAAATTTAAATTTTGCTCTAATATTCGGTACTAGAAAACTAGTTTTTTCAGTCAATTTTCTTATAAAAAATTGTTTAAATTTATAGAAAACTTATTTCTTACAATTTTTATACAAATTTTACAAAAATATTCTCATAAAAAATAGAATTTTTAGTAGTTACTATTTATTATTCATTTACATTTACCTTTTCAATCAATATAAATTTTAATAATAATATTATTTTTATTTAAATTTATTTATGATAAAAGTATTAGCAGTTATAGAATTATTTAGAATCCATTTTATTGATTTATGTGTTCTAATTAAGACAATATGAAATAAGATCGTATTTTATTTGTACACCAAATAATTAGTTACAAATATTTTTTTAAAATAATTTATGATGTGAAATAATAAAAGCCATATATATAATTTTTGGCATAATTATTGTAAAATATACCAAATTTATCATATCCTATCGTGAAGCGCGACTTCACGTCAATGTTGATTGTTTCTTGTCAGATACAATCATCAAAGTTGTGGCCCAATTCCTCAGTGCTATCATTTCATCTGTAAGTACTACTTTAAAGTGCTCATCAATGCTTCTATGTAAATATATATATATTCAATATCAAATATCTACATCATACTCAGAACTTTGAATCTACATTTTTATGATCGGAATTCGCCTTTGTAAGAGTCTAATTTTGAATTATCTTTTCAATATTTTTAAATACGTTTCAGAAATTTAAAGAAAATAAATAAAATTTCTAAATTGGAATCTTTTATTAAAATGTTAATTTAATCAGTTTAGAAAATAAAATAAAAATAATTATTAATCCAATTAACGCATTAATTAAAATATTATTGTTAATTGAAACAATGATTGATTATTTGCAAGACAAATTTTGACACATGTTTTCAGTACTAATGTAGCATTTTGTATCTTAGAATTCGATTTTCTAATATATATATATATATATATATATATATATATATATATATATATATATATATATATATATATATATATATATATATATATATATATATATATATATATATATATATATATATATATATATATATATATATATATATATATATATATATATATATATATATATATATATATATATATATATATATATATATGTGTGTGTGTGTGTGTGTACAAGATAAATGCAAGGATGAACAACTTTCAAAGAAGACAAAAGATATAGTGCACACAACTTCCTCCAATAGAGGACAAGATTGAACACTTCCTCTCCTTTCCTTTTTTATTGAAGGAAGCAGTAGAGAATAAGAATACTAATCTATGTAAAAACATCATTGTTTTCAAGTATATAATACCATTCTTATAATTCTAAATTTATACCAAATAATTTTTTACTTAATCTATTAAGTTTAAACAAATTGATTTAAACCACCTTTTTTTATATAGTTATTACAGTGTAATAGGGTGAATATAACGAAGAAAATTGAAAATATATATATATATATATATATATAATTAAATATATTATTTCAGTTAATTAAGATAAAAATAATTTATATACACTTTTTTTTATCTACCAAAATGTTTTTTAAGAATAAATTTATTAAAAATTTAAAATGAATAATATTTTTTACATAGGAAAACATTATCGAGAGAATCTCATTTTTATACAGATTATATATTTTTAGGTATTTTTTTATTATCCTTTAATAAAAACAATCAATTTAAATATAAAAACCTAACAAGTTTATGTTACAATAAACATAAAGATTAGATAAAACTTTAATTTTAAAAAAAAATAAGAGCAAAATGGTTTGAAGAAGTTTATTTAAATTTTGTTGGAAAAGAAAGTTTGACCTGGCTGTATGCTATAGCTATCTTTACACCTAAAATCATTATCTTTGGAGGTTCTGAAGATTCTCTACCTGTCAAGTTTTTTTTTGGCTTACGTGAATCGCTCTCTTCCGATCTTCCTTATCCATAGAGGGACCTCCCGACTTGAAACAGTGATCATCCCATTCAGATTTTACGTCCGTCACAGCCAAGCTATCACTCCATACCCTATCCTACATCAATCCCTTCAATTACTTACTTTCAAATCACAAATTCAAAAGCTCAAATAACCTGTCTCATGTTTCAGGTTAAAACCAATTCACAGTTAAAATCACACTTAAACTGATATAAGACATTTTATATAACATTCTTTTATTAAGACAGAATGTAGATATATAAGTTTTTTTTTTTTTTTTTGAAAAGATAGTATAAAAGAGAATTATTGCATTGGAACACCCTTCTCGCTTTTCAAAAAGTTTTTTTTTTTTTTTCTGAAGCTTTATTATCCATCACAAATTGTCAAATTGAGATGTACAACTCAGCTATAGCCTAGTTAGAGAGTACTGAACGCAGACACCTCAGTTTCCAAGAAGAAAAATAAGCATTAGATTGTGTAGCTCACTTTTATGGGTATATTTTTTTATGGCATCGATATCAAATGCTCGCATGATGTTCGAATTGTGTTCCTTTCTCTGTCTCTTTACACATCGTTGCCTCCTATTCTAGTTGCTTAAAAGTGGCCCACAGTTTGGTCTATTTGCACTATGACATGTCTAAAAGAAAGTGAAACTAAAACAATGGCAGCCATGACTGATACCAACAAGCCTGATGTTGTATCAAGCAATGTCGTGATCATTGTCTGTATATGGTGCTCAAGAAACCGTTGCAAAAATGTCCATCATCCTTCTTCCCAACCAAACTGTGCCAATCAAACTTCACAACAAGCTAAACACTTATATACTAACGTCGCAATGTAGCAGCTTTTTCTTGGGGAAAAAGTTTGAGTTGAAATATGAACTTAAACAAGAAGAGTTTTAAAAAAAAATTATCATATTTTTTATAATTAATATATGTTTCATTTATGAGAATTTCTATGTTTTATTGCTAACCTTCCTTAAAAATCATCCAATAGGTAATCTAGATAATCTAGTAGTTTTGAATTGAATAATAATTTTCTTTTTATGTTCAAGAAAGTATAACTAATTAAATTATTTATGTATAAAATTAATTATTCTAATTTTTGAAATAGATAATTATGTGTGGTAAATCTAAACAAGTCTATAATTACGGATCAATCAATGACACAGTGGAAAGCCCTTTAAGGTTTTGTAGGTTGCTTATGAGGTTCCTTTCATAGATTACATCAACTATAATTACGATTAAGACAAGGTTTTGGTTTAAATACGCATTTAATATAAATGAATATCAAAACACTACAAAGCTATTTAATATAATTTAACTAATCAAGGACAAATAATAGAGGGGAGAAGACATGCAACGGGCTCCACAATATATGTTGTGAATGAAAACGCATTCAGAAACTTTGTTAGTGTGGACCGCCACGTAGGAGATAAAATATAAAACAGTGTTGCTCTATTATTAAAAGTTTAGAAGGTGTAATAATGCGTTTGAAAATGACGTGGTTTAATATATATAATAATAACTATTTTTCATCTTTTGCCACCTTCAAAATGACGCGGTTGCTTAAGGATCAAGCCTCTTCATTGTTTTATTAGTGGTAGAATATTGAATGATATTTAGTATTAATATTACTGAATTATTGAATTATGAAACTAATTTCAAAAGCACTATACAAATTGTACAGCATCCCTCTTAAACTTGTAACGGTTGCCTAATGAATATGGTAAAAAATTACATTTCTAATGTATTGTTAAACTTACGTTGCATAAAATTCATTTTCAATATAATTCTCCTCCCTTTATTTTATTTAATACGTAATTTTAGTCTTTAGTTTTCGATAGAGACATTTAGTCTCTATATTTTAAACAAATATATGTAACTTTTATTCAATCAACATTTTTTTCTATATTTATTTCTTATATTTGGATTACTTAGATATTTTTTATGGTATCTTAAATAAACCTGTGTAGATCTAGAACTTAATTCAAATCAAAATAAAATAAAAAGTAACAATTATATCAATATTGCAAAATTTCTATAATAAGAAGATTAAATATCTCTTTTTTCTTAAGGAGAGATTAAAATTATACTTAACACATCCATTCTTTCTTACTGAGTAATATTATTGAAACGATAAATATTATTATTAATGTTTATTTATTTAATAATAATAATAATAATAATAATAATAATAATAATAATATTATTATTATTATTATTAGGACACTACAAAAAAAATGCTTATTATTTACGGGTAAAATCGGTAGGTAATGTCACTTTACCTACGGATTTTTTTCAGTAGATAATTACCTACGGATTATAATCCGTAGGTAATGCATTCACCTAAACAAAATATTTTTATTTATTACAACCCCCTCCCCTTTATATTATATTTTTATTATTTATTATATTTTCGAAACTTTGAATTTTTATTACATTAAGGGAATTGTCATTGGCAGGATTCGAACCTAAGTACCTCAGAGTTGGAGGTCGATACTCCAACCACTAAGCTATTAGGATATTTTGATAATAATTTACAAATAAATTATATTTATATTTATCCGTGTAAATATATAAATATAAAAAAAATATATAAATATAAAATATATAAATATAAAATATATATAAATATAAAATATATAAATATATAAATATAAAATATATAAATATAAAATATATAAATATAAAATATATTTATATTTTGATATATTTATATATTTATATATTTATATATTTGTATTTATATATTTATATTTATATATTTATATTTATATATTTATATATTTATATTTATATTTATATATTTATATATTTATATATTTATGTATTTATGTATTTATATATTTATGTATTTATATATTTATATATTTATCTATTTATATATTTATGTATTTATGTATTTATATATTTATGTATTTATGTATTTATGTATTTATGTATTTATGTATTTATATATTTATGTATTTATGTATTTATATATTTATGTATTTATATATTTATGTATTTATATATTTATGTATTTATATATTTATATATTTATATATTTACACGAATAAATATAAGTATAATTTAGTTGTAAATTATTATTAGAATATCCTAATAGTTTAGTGGTTGGAGTATCAGTTTTCAACTTTAAGGTACTGGGTTCGATTCTTGCTAGTGACAATTCTTTTAGTTTAATATAATTTACCTACGGATAGTAATTCGCGTAGGTACCTACGAATAGTAATTCTGTAGGTACCTACTGAATTACCCACTGAATGACATTACCTATGGATAATATCCGTAGGTAATGTACACTTTACCTACGGATAGAATTCAGTAGATAATTACTTACGGAATTATCCACGGATTACATTACCTACAAATAGAATTCGTAGGTAATATCCGTAGGTAATGTATAATTTACCTACGGATTTTCATCCGTGGATAATATCCGTAGGTAATGTAAAATTTACCTACGAATTTTTATCCAGTAGGTAATAGGCTTTTTTTTGTAGTGGGATTGTTTGAACTAAGAGTTCAAAATAAGTTTTTTTGATACATCGAGTCCAAAAATTTCAAAAAATAAATTAACCTAAAAAAAAATTATAACATAAATAAAATTAGATAAATTTTGTTTTTGTTTATTTAAATCATGATCTAAATGGACTTAGATCATATTACCTCGTTCGTTGGTTTATAGACCAATCTTTTTTATTAAATAATTATTATTTTTAAAATAAAATAAAAATAATCTTATTTGATTAAAAATATATATGTATAATAAATTAATTTGATAATATATTTTTATATTATATATATATAATTTAAAAAATAATAATAAACTCTAACACTACTACAGAAAACACTTTCTACGACAGCATCCAACGTCGGTTATTACGAAGACCGACGTTGTACAAGACGCTGCTGGCAAACTTGTAATTATGAAACAAAATTTAACGTCTGGCTATATAATAACCGACGTAGTAACTGCAATTCAACGTCGGTTATATGACAGACGACGTTAAATGTTTAAATTTAACGTCGGTTACATGATTTACCCGACGTCGAAAGCGTTATCCACGTCGGGTTTTTTAATAACCGACGTTGAATGTCCTTTATACCTCTCCTCTTAGGCGCGCTACCCCTCGTCTGCTTCTTCTTCGTCCCACATACTCCCTCCTTATGCTTCTTCTTTGCTGTGCCTCAGTCCTCACTGCTGCCCCCTCGCCGCCCCTTCGCCGCCCACTTCGCCGCCCCCTCGCCGCCCCTTCGTCGCCCACTCGCCGCTGCTACCTCATTCG